CTCATTCAGTTCCAGCTCTGCTACACTATAAACATTAAAATTGCACCATCCCTTTGCAGATCTTAGGAAAAGATCTCTGGCAGCAGCCCAGAATTATGGAATGTAAGGATATGCCAAAGCCCCAAATTCCCGCTGCCACCAGGCAATAGTGGATGATGCCCTGAGAATATCTGTGGCCGGGAATGCCGGCAGGGGGAAGGGCAGGCGGAGGCGGCTCCGGTTTGGATTTCTGTGAATTCAGGCACGCAGCCACGGAGAGCTGCCCGGAGACAATTGCTCCATATCACATGAGCTCCCTGAAAGGTAGCAACTATTCTTAGCTCATGTAGGCTGAGCTGTTCTACATGGTGACCCAGCTACAAATTCAAAAGAGAATCTAAGCTCTTAATTTCTAGTAAAGACAGTGGGAACCTAATAGCCTAAGCAGGAGCTGGGCATCTTAACATTATTTTCTTGGATCGAGGCCTTAGTTATTTCTAGCTTCTTGTTCTGTCTCATACTTAGGCTTCAGGTCCAGGCCTAGACAAGGTCAGCAAAATCTGGTGATCTCACATTTGGGATAGCTGGGATCCTTTCACTGTCCTTTCCTTTTCCATCCTTTTGTCCTTTTCCATCTTCAGAAAAATACCACTAGCTCTTTCAAATCACTAACACAATTCCCATCCAGGGAAATGGACTTTGTAATGCAGTCCAATATAAACTGAACTTCGTGGTAACAAATGTTTCATTATCTGAAAACTTGCCTAAGAAGAAACTTAAGAGTATATTAGTAGGGTTCAGTCAGGAGTATTCCAAAACACTGTATTTACTCTGTATAAGAACATGTTATTCTCCAACTTGATGTACCACCTTTGTCAAGCTTTATCCTTTTCTGGTAAGAAAATTATGCACAGTTTTTAGAGCAGAGAATGAAATATAACTAAGTTCAGTAACTGACCACTGCAGGAAACATAACAGCAAAAGGTAAGTGAATGATTGGATCAGCCAGTATACCAAGATCCACATTTAACGAGTATTATTGAATATTTAAGTGGTAAAGGGTAGTGTCTAATTTTGTACTTAAAATTATTAAATAGGATAATTTGACTTCTCCCTGGGTACATCCTCCCCATCATTTTTTTTATCTGAGCACTTTGCCAACATGAATTAATTCATCTTTGAATTAATTAATCTTTTAAGCTCCTCTAATAAGCAAGGAAGTTCTGCTGGCAAGGAAGTCCAGACTGCTCTGAGAAATGAAATCTCCATTGAAGACTCCAGCCCTTAACAGCCACTATATTTTATTGAGAATATCCAAAGAGCAGGTTTGCATACACCAGGTGGGGTACAGTAAGTGCTACTGGGAGAGAATGACTTGGATCACCCAGAGTTATCTGGTCTTATAAAAAGATTTAATACGACAGGAGCAAGAAGAGTACAGTGCCTATCATAAATATGGCATCATAAATATGTCTTTTCTAACCATTAAATATTTTTACAGAGTCATTTTGCAATAAAATAGAAACAGGAAAATGTTATTAACTAAGCCTTCACTTCTTGCAATACTTTTCAAATGCTATAAAATACAGACTTACCTTAATACCTACCAGGGATAAATACAGGATTTTCATTTAAAAAATGTGCAGTTTTGCTTATTTGCCAGTTTCCCATACATCGCTTTGTAAAACTTACAAACTAATAAAAGTTAAAGGACTTACTGGCTTAACAAACTGAAACTGAAATCATTTTGCTAACCACATGATGCAGTTAATAGTTTACTGCTTGTCAAGAACTGTCATTCTTATGAATATGTTATAAAAAGATCTGTTCTAATGATCTATTCTGTTTAACAGTCCCTGTTTATAGTTACTTTATCATAAAAGTTTATCATAAAAGAAATTTTTATGGAAAGGTGTGTGTGTGTGTGTATTTGTATATTCGTATATATATGTGTGTGTGTATTTACTTGTATATTCGTATATAGGTTTGAAAGATTTATGAACAACAATTTTGTGGCAATTCTTGAAAATGAGACTAAAATGCACTTTAAAAATATACATATAAGAAGCTTTTCTATACAATGATATGTGAGGATACAACATGCAACCAACATGCATACTTTAAATAGACAAGTGATTAAAACTGCTTTCCTCTGGTAAAACTGTAGGTGTTTGCAAGAGTCCGTTCCAGCAGGGCCATCAGCCCTCAACACACAACTTTTATGCTACTGATAAAATCCAGAGCATGTTTAAAAGAGCTGCTGAACAGGAGCCAGGATTCAGTCCCTACGGCTGCACTGCCCGGGATGTTGCATGCGCTGGGAAGATTAGTTTAGCTTTTCTACACTTACGACAGGAGATGGAATTGTATTGGTGCTTCCACAGGATCATGACTGTCTTTTCTTGTGCTCCCTCTCCCTTGACAGGTTAGAAGTATCTCAGGGCTAGGCAGGTCTTGCAATGCCTGAAATACCAGTATTCTCCAGTGTCACCACTTAAAAGAAAGGAGTCAAGTGGTCGTGTCGATTTTCCAAGGCTAGAAGAAGCAGTGACTGAATCCAGAGCAGGATTCTCGAGGTCCTGTTGAGGTAGCACATGATTATCCCTGCACAACACACTAAGAAAACACATTAGGACATCAGGAGACCAATGCAGGATCTGTGCGGATGAAAAGGTTTAGCCGAGGCCCTGCTGCCCCTTTTGAGTCCATGTGATGATTCGAAGGCACGCACGCACGGTAAACGTGCATGTCAGCAAGCTCTTTGTAACGGCTCTGGGTGTGATCAATGCACCGATCTAAAATGTAGCTGTATCTTATCACTCCTCAACAAAATCCTGGTGGCTTCAGAAAAGCAGCAGCTCAGTGATTACAGTAACACCTGTAAAGACAACCACATTAATACAAACACTCTGCTGGCGTACAGATTTTGTGAACAGTATGTCCCTCAATATTGGACAAAGTTATCCGAAGCAATTTAAAGGTCTGCTATCATAAGCCTACATAAACTTTACCAATAAAGGCAAGAACAAATGCATCGTGCTCATCCTGTCTTGTGTTCCCCAGACTCTATGATCTACCTGCATAAAATTCACTGGAGGGTATCAATGCTCTGATCTTTCATAACCTGCACTTCATTGGGAACGTGACGGAAGAGATTTTAAAAGTGGCCAAGCTGAGATGTGGACAGGACAACACTGCAACAAACAACAAACTGACTGTGAACTAGACTACCCACATGTAGCAGCTTTTACCAACACTATTCCTCTTTCCGTGGATCTTGAGATCTGAAAAGTAGCTGCCTCCCTGGAGAGTTTAGACTTTTTTTTTTTTTTTTTAATCCTGAAAAATCTCCAGTGGTCTTACTCATTAATATCATTCCTTTATTACTAAAGGATTTGGGTAGTTTGGACGTGCATTATTCCTGAATAACAAAAATATACAAAATTTAGCAGCATAGCAATAAATATGTTATGAGTTTGGCATATATTTTTAAATTCTTATAACTCCACCTCAGCTTTTAAAAATTACTAAATGAGGCTTTGCAAGTTATTTGTCCAAATAGTAACCAAACTCCTCTGGCTTTAAGTGAAAGCATCATAAATCAGCCAAGGCACAAACTCACTCCTGTAACTTTTGTTATTACTCAAACAACTCCAACTCTACAGGGCAGAGAGAGCAGGTTTGTGTATCTGATTCTTGGACCGTAAACCAAGGAATTCATGAACTAAATTACTGGCTGGATGATTTATTTGTTTTCTAGATAGACTTAGCACCGAAGAAAAACACATCCTTAAACCGAGATAAAACTCTGGCGGTATTCAGTACATCTTGCTGTTTGCTTTCAAAGGGAGCACGAAGGATGCTTTCTCTGATTAGTGTTAACAGGACACTAGATCTATCTTTGGAGTAGATGACTTACTACAGGCATTGAAGTTCCAGGAATTAAGGTCCTTTCTAGGACTAGCATAGAAATAAATCGAATGAAAGCACTGATCTGAACAATCCCAGGATTTCTGAAGATACACTGTATAATTCCTTATGTTTGACACCCAGGCTTCGCATCCAATGAATGAATATCAATGAATTAATAGAAGTTACAGAATAAAATGCACAACTTGACTGACTTTACCTCAGTGTAACAGCTTCCATTTCTCCTTCACGAACTATTCCAACACACTTGCACAAGCCGTGTGCAGGATGCTACCACTGCTGCTGCATGGTGTCCCAAACCCCTGGGCCTCCAGCCACATCCAGCAAGCCCAGAAGTGAAGCCCACATGGAATATTTACACTTTGCACAGCGATAATATAGAAGACTTTTTACGAAAATCTCCTACAAGCCAGCTGATCACTGGCTTGTTACCTCCTTTTGTATCCTCTTCACAAACTGCTGTAAAGATGTGTTGCTTACCAAGGTAGGATTCAATGTTCCCTCTGTGAAACCTGTTTTTGTTCATTCTGCTTTAAGGTCTTTTTACTTTTCACTGTACCACATAGTAGTAGGAGAAAAAAAAAAAAGTAAATAAAAGGACTGAAAGAAAAATTCTACAAGTGGCAAAAATATACACAAATCTTTTAAAGAAAAGTTTTATAGATATCAGTAAGATTGCATATTAAAGTAACAATATGAAAAGCTACCAGACAAAAAAGTTGCAATGATACTGTGATAGAGCAGTGTCTATGAAAATGATATAAGTATCTGAAGAAACTTTCTATGAAATATTCAGTGGAGTCTGTCTAATTATCACAAAATTATTTTTTGCACTTAGATAATAATGGACCGTTATTCAGGCACAGTAGAAAGACATTTCCCCTCAACAATTATGCCCATTAGCTTCTGTCTTAAAAGAAAAAAAAAAACTTTTTAAACTGATGGTTTTATCCAGGAAATGAAGATGAGTATGTTAGTGAAAGAACCTACAATTAATTCTCCAAAGGCACCCACTGCTACCACCTACAGACGAAAAGGATTCACAGCTCCTACCTAATATCAGAAAATGATACACAGCAATAATAGTAATAATTAATCTCTGAAAAACAAAGCTATAGTTATGCCCAGAAATTTTAATTTGGATAAAAACAAACCTGTCATGTTAAAAATAGCCGGCAATTTAAGTCTCGAACTTTTAAAAATACTTTAGAGTTATAAATGGCATTTAAATCTCTGGGCAAACCATGAGAGATTTTAGAAATCTTCTCTAAAATTATAGAATAAGCATAAAAATGTAAACGTCTGAAATATACAAAATCCAGTTGTCTAAGTAGTAGGTAGGTACTTTTTTTTTTTTTTAACTGCAGCACAGCTAAATTTTGCCTAGGGACTGAAAGTGGGTTGAATGTACCACCACACAGGCTGGTACATCCACATGTGCATTACAAAAAACAGCATAACAGGGTAGGGTACCACCTTTTTAAGTAATACCAAGCCTACTCACAGTTTCTTGGGAAAAAAAAAAAAGGTAGACAGGAGAAAATATGGAAAGATACAGAAAGATACCGGAATACTGCGAGCTGCTTACTCTAGCAGCATACATCTGAACAAAAAGCTTATTTCCTTTGACCTGAAATATCCTTTTTCTGTTTACCTGTAGCTCCTGCTTTGACAAGTTTGGAAATAAATGTAATGTTTTGGCAGAAATAACAGTTCAGACAAATAAATAGACTTGACCTAAATGTAGGGACGGACCATGTCTGTACTACAGTTTAATTTTTGACTGTGTTTTTTCTCATACTTGACAACTGATGTCTGCTGTTCAAAGTCTATGCCCAGAAACGGATTTTGGTATTGCTGTCACGCAGGCCTGCCTCTTGTGCAGCACAGGGCAAGCCGTGTGGCTGAACGGGCTGCTGCAAGGCAGTGCATGTGCTTGTGAAGCTGGAAGGTTTGCGCTTTCCGTGTGCTCACGCACAGCTAAACGAGCAGGGATCAAGCAGCACTACAGTTTAATTTTTGACTGTGTTTTTTCTCATACTTGACAATTGATGTCTGCTGTTCAAAGTCTATGCCCAGAAACAGATTTTGGTATTGCTGTCACGCAGGCCTGCCTCTTGCGCAGCACAGGGCAAGCCGTGTGGCTGAACGGGCGGCTGCAAGGCAGTGCGTGTGCTTGTGAAGCTGGAAGGTTTGTGCTTTCCGTGTGCTCACGCACAGGTAAACGAGCAGGGATCAAGCAGCCCAGAGGCAAAGCTGCGGGTCCCCGTGCGGCTCAGATGCCGGCCCTGCTCTCCGACCCACTGCCAGCTGGAAGGCACCGGCTGTTCTCTGTCCCTGAAGGACAGCGATGGACCTTGAACAGTGCGTGCGCACGCTGACACCTGCGGCACAGATCTGTGGGAGCCTGGGCTGGCAGGAGTGGAAGAGCAAAGGGGAAGCACGTGTTCAGCTGGCTTGTCCTGGCTGGAAAGATGACCTCGTTAGCACACTGAAGTCTTGAACAGCTCATCCCTGGCAGGTATCGGCATTACTCGCCCACATCAGGGTTGAATCACACCACAGGTTTTAATT